GTCGTGGGCCCTTTTAATTTGGTGATATTGGAAATGTCGGAGTTTGATGTTATTCTTGGTATGGACTGGTCATCCTCTTATCGGGCCGTCATAAATTGCTATCGCGGAAGGGTTACGGTATGCACCTTTGGCGGGGATTGTTTTTATTTTCTGGAGGATAGAGTTGACAGAGGGTTGTCACCGTTGTATGACCCACGAAGTCAAGGCAAACTTAGTTTTCTTCTTGATGAGGATAGTGCAATCTGGGAGATATTTCCAAAAGTGGTTTGTGAGTATCCAGATGTTTTTCCTGAGGATCTCACTGAGTTACCACCCCATCGTGAGGTAGAATTCTCTATAGATTTGGTGCCTGGTACAATGCCCATCCCCATGTCAATAGAGGGTGTTGTTTGGGCCCATGAGGTCCATCACGGGTCCCGTTTCGAAGATCCGAACAATTTATTATAGCGATCTTGGTTTATCCTCTCTTTATTTATTGTATTCCGGACTCGGTTCCGTGGATGTGTTGTTGTCTCATTCTCATTTGAATCCTTTACTCCTTGTTTTGACGCTCGAGCGTGAATATCCATCTCCCAGTATTTTTCTCTGCAGGTCTTCGGACGCTCGAGCGGGAGTTTTGACGCTCGAGCGTGAATATCCATCTCCCAGTATTTTTCTCTGCAGGTCTTCGGACGCTCGAGCGGGAGTTTTGACGCTCGAGCGTGAATATCCATCTCCCAGTATTTTTCTCTGCAGGTCTTCGGACGCTCGAGCGGGAGTTTTGACGCTCGAGCGTGACCCTTTTGATTTTGTTCCTCCGCTCGAGCGGAGAGTTTGACGCTCAAGCGGGGACCATGTCTGCAAAACTTCTGCAGGTGTGCAATCGACGCTCGAGCGGCGCTTTTAACACTTGAGCGTGAGTCTGTGTCTGACGCTCGAGTGGGGCGATTTTTATAACACTCTGGGATTTCACTTTTCAGATCACTTTTTGATTTCCTTTCTCTCTCTTACTTTTTCAAAACCTGCATTGGAGAGCACCTCACTCTAAAACCTTACCTTCTCTCTAGGGATTGATCTAGTAGGAGTGATTTCCTCACCTTGGGCCTTTGAAAAAATTGTGTGGATCGTTGAGGGCTATTTTTTAATCCGAAAATCTTGGGATTTGGTGCACTTTGAAATTCTTCATCTTCTTCCTTTGAGCTCCGAATTTGAGGTAGGGATTCCTACTCATTCTTATATGCTTTAACGTAGATATTGAGCTATTTGTATAGATGGTTTGATTTTGGAAGTTAGGGTTTGAGTTATATAATAATGAAAAGAGGGGTTTTATTCTTTTGGCTCATATATAATTATTTTGGGTCTAAAAAGGAGGTTATTGATGTTAGTTGTTGATATTTAGACCTTTGGGTCAATATTGAAAAAAGGGAAAAAAAATGCCATGTTTGGGTATAATGGGGTCATTTAAGTAATTAATGACATTTGTTATGAGAATATGAAATTGAGTTGAATATAATGAAATTGGCTCATTATGAGATGGAATAGTGAAGTTGGATTTATTAATCGCTCACTTTTGAAAATGTTGATAAACTATCTGTTGATGCATTTATTATCTGTTTAGAAATAATTGCTTTGTGCTATCGGTGGAGGATAGTCGTGATTGTTGTAGACAATGCATGATGATTGGGCAAACTGGAACTAATCAATTGAATATGTCATCGAATATGACAATTGGAATAATACATCGAATTTGTGTATTGATTGAACATGTATATGATAGTTATTTATATACGTTGTGTTGTGTGGAAGGAGATAGGGGATGTACTCCACGGTTTAGGGGAAGATAAGGGATGGACTCCTAAACCGGATGTTATGTGGGAGGAGATAGGGGATGGACTCCATTGATACAGCAATTCTGTGTATCTATTGAAGTATTGATACAGCAAATCCGTGTATCACTTGTGAAGTAAGGAAGTGTTTGTATGTGTTAATGATACAACAAATATGTGTATCTGTTAAGACTTATGGAAGTATTTTGTTGTGAGTTGTTGTCTCATTTGAATTATTGAAATGGAAGAACTGTTGACATGAGATGAAATCTCTGTTAAAGTATATGGCCAGGTTCTGAGCCAGGGTTATGGATTGGAAATTTGGATAAGAACTGGAATAAAACATGGACACTTGGTCATGTAATTGAAATGGGTTATGAATTGATTTATGAGAGTTAAACATTTATCGATTGCTAATGTCTTAGTTATTGCATATATTGTGTTTAGCATATCTCTACTGGGCGTTGGCTCACCCTATATGGGACATCATTTTCAGGTACAGGTAGTATGCCACCTCCAATGACGTAGCTTTAGAGGCTTAGTGGCTGGGGCATCTTTTGTGATTACATTCTTGTATTACATGTATATCAAGCCAAGGGCTTATTTTGTATAGAGTTAGTACTCTTTCTTTTGTAACCAAGTGTTGACTTGGAAAGCTGTAAGCCCATAAGGCATTTGCTTTTATTGTTAACATGTAATACATTTGTAAGAATACTCTGATTTATGAAATTATGCTTTATTCTCTTTTGTCTAAGCATGTCAAGAATATATGATAAATGGGTTTATTTTGAGGGCGTGATATTTATTTTATCAGGCACTTCGTGTATTTCATCCACACAAAAAATTTGGTCGATCTCATAATTATAACTTGTTCAATTTATTACGTTTCTCACTGAAAAAATGTATAATTTATTTTTAAAAACACAATTGTTGTCTATTTTTTTTAGTGAAAAATTAAACAAATTACAGTTATGCGATTGACCTATTTTTTTATTTTTTTATTTTTTTGGATGAAATAAACGAAATGCCCGACAAAATGAATTTTTCAAATCATCAAAATGAGACCCGTGGTGGGCCTCGCGGGCTCAAACGGCACACTCCAATTCAAAATTTGGACTGAAGGAGATCCTCTTCCTTCTCAATAAAGGTTGTTTTTTAGGGGTCCTTACTCCTATTGACAAATATTATATTGCATCTTATCAGGATAGTCGTCCTACTCATGTTTGAACCTTATTCCTTGTATATTTGTTTGGGTTTTTCTTTTATACTTTTGATTTTATTTTATTTTTTTGTATAAATTATATATTATATTTAACTATTATAATTTATTGAGTTTTATTATAATATCAAATATTATTATTAATAATAAAAAGTATTACCATAAACAATTGACCGATCTGGCCTATTCCCACTCTTAGCATGACAATATTTCTTGAATACCCGTTTAGATAATACTATTTTAAAACATTTAGTTGAAAAAATAATAATAATAATAAATAAATAAATAAATAAATAAAAGTTAAAACCAAAGATTTTACAAGTCAGAACTAAAATAATGTCATAACTAGAGATACATATGATCTCATAAATCATAACTAAAATAATCATTTTAAAGGGTGTGTATTGTAGAATTTTCTGACTTAAAAACACATTAAATTCCACCTAGAATATTGAAATTAGAAACTTATAGAATCTCCTAAATAAGAGTATATTTTTTGGTGTCTAGGCTTGATGGTAATGTTTGAGTTTGAATCCCATTTACTTTTAGATTTTATAATAGAAATATTAGAAAATCACAATTTAAATACTATAATTCATCCAAAATGATGTGGCAAGAAAATTATGTCTTACATGACTAAATTTGTGAAAAATTAAAAATTGACACTTAATAGATCATTCCATTATTGTTGATCAAATTGAAAGAACCTTTTTAAGAGTCTCAAAAAAAATTTATAGCATAAACGTTAGAACTTCAGAAATTTTCAAGCTACTGCGTGTATCACAACTCAGTTGGCATTTTCCACTGATACAATATATGGCTTTGTCTACTGTTGAATTTTAATTGTCTAGTTGGATATAATATTTCTCATATTATAATTAATCTTATATCGATTTAAAAATAAAAAATAAAAATCACACAAGCATGCTGGCATAAGTTTTTTGCTAGGTTAATTTACCTGTCAAACATAAATTTGAACTAGTTTAGAAAGTCACATTATGGTATATAGTTAGATGGACCAATATTTCTATGTAATGAGTATTTTTAACATTTAAAATAAAAAATTTAGCCTCCGTTTGGGAAGTGGGTTGGCTTTTTGACTTTTTGGCTTTTTTGGCTATTTGAGCCTGGGCTCAAAAGCTTGGTTTGGGAAGGACTTTTTGGCTTTTTTGAATTTTTTTGTGAGAGAAGAGTGTAATAATTATGGATTGGATGTGATGTTTTGTCTGTTGTGGCTCAAATAGCCTATTCTGTCTTTTGTGGCCAAATATTTCTCATATTTATAATTAATCTTATATCAATTTAAAAAAAAAATTTACTTGGTTAATTTACCTGTCGCCATAAATTTGAGCTAGTAATGCGTATTTTTAACATTTAAAATAAAAAAATAGATTAATGCTTTGGGGCTTCAGCTAAATTTACTTCGTATGGATTATGGGTAGGGGGCTAGGAGCACATTAGTTTTGTTTAGTAGCAAATCTGAAAGTAAACCAATCCCTAAAACTTCATTTGGATTACCTGGTGACAATAAAAATGATTAATTAAATTTGACGTGGAAATGAAATAATAGAAATAATTGATATTTCTCTTCATTTATAGAGGGAAAGGAGAAAGAGTTTTAGCAATCTAATTTTAGTCCCCAAAATGAAGGGAGAAACATTTAGGGACTAACTTTTGTTAAAAAATCAGAAAACAGACTTTTGTATCAAAATTTTTAAAATGTGGTTAATAAATGCACTTTAAGAGAAAACAATTTGATGCATAGGATGTTCGTTTTTTTAGACTATTTTGGTCAAGAAATGATAATAATTCGTCACTAAATATCTAATTTCATTGCTAAATATGCAACGACACTTTTGACAACTTAAACATTTTGTTCTTAAAAATTAATTCTATTCATGATTTTTTTATTTTTAAAATCTTAATTTGTTGTAATGATTTCATGCTTGCCACTGTGTGACCAACAATTTGGTGATTTTTTTAGGGATTAACAATTTTGATTTTTATTGAAAATAACCTAGCACTGTTTGATTGTATTCCTAATGCATAGAGCATTTTATAATAACTAGATATAATGGATTAAAGCAAATGAAAAGGGTATTGATAGAGCATACCTTTTCATTAAACAAAGATTGTGCCTGGGTAGAAGAATTTCCTTCGGATGTTGTCATCTTCTCCACTTTGGGGTAGAAGCTTATGAGCTTGGGTAGATTCACGAGATCCAAATATTTCAACTGACTGAAATTAATTACCTGACTTGAGAGTTCATCTTCATCTTTTTCTTCTTCAATTCCAACTATTGCTTCCATCATCTCACAATCAACTATTTGTAGTCTCTGGAGCCGTGGAAATCCTCTTGCACAGGACAGGGAGAAGAGATATTCCAACCTACAATCTTTAATTGTTAATTCAATTAAATTATTGAAGAAGCCTGATGGATTTAGTCCATGATGTTCCATCAAAGACCCCTCCCCACCTCTGTTATGCAGCACCTCTGGTAAACCTTCAATATTTTCCAAAAGTAGCGCTTCAGCTCTCGGCAACAAAACGATAAACTTGTCCATTAAGGAAACACCCCTAAGTTTACACGACTTTGAATAAGTTTTAGAAATACCCATACCCTTACGCATACCAATACCAATTGATATTTTAAATCTGATCAAGTTTTCAAAGCAGAAGTCCTTGGGCAATAGCATGACATTTGGTATGTGAATCTGTAAAGTGGTTAATTGCGTCGATTTCCCCAACTCATCAAGATTCACTTTGCTTCTTTCCTGCCTATGCTCATCTAAAATGTATAATTCTTCCAGGCGAGACAAATTGGATATGACACCTTGTGGAATCTCTGTGAGCTTTTTACAATTTCCCAGATCTAACAACCGAAGACGAGTCAATTGTCCTATCTCTGATGGCAAAACCTCGATATTAGAACCTCTAAGTATTTCAAGGTTATTATTTAGATCCTTGAGTATAGCTATGTCTCCCAACTCACAATCTTCTAACCATAACATCCGAAGGTTAACCAAATTAGCAAGAGATAATGGAGGCAACATACAGATTCTATTCAATTCTAAAATTGTAAGTTTCTCCATTCCACTGAAAAACCTATCTGGAACATTAAGCAAAGCATCGCTACGCCAGTCCCATTCCAATACTATGGTCAAGGTGTGGAGTTGTGGACATACCAAATCATCCGGAAGCTTCGGAAGCTCAAGAGTGCTGTCGAACATTAATGACATTGCTGAGGAAGATTCGAATGTATCTTTCTCGGGCCACTTTTTGTCACCATGTTTTACTAGAATTTCCTTGCCATCATCTTTCGCAATTGAAAGAGCAACATCTCGAATGACATCATGCATTTTGACAAAGTTTTCATCTTCACCTTCTAATAACAAACAAGCATCTTTGAGGATATCGACCACTGTAAGTACTCGACGGCTTGCTCTTCTTAGTGTATTTGTATTTTGTCCAAGCAAACTTCTTGCTATGCAGTGTCTCGCCAACACTTCAATTGAAATATTAGCATCTTCAGGAAAGGAACAACACAGCAAGAAGCATGATTTTGCATCACTAGATTCTAACCGATCATAGCTTAACTTTAAGGAAGCATACACCTTTGGCTCGATTCCCGCAATATTCTTTAGTATGGAATCTTTGAATTGATCAAGTACATCTTCCCAAACATATTTTTTCTTATCTGTCAATGCGGCTCCAACTGCAAGTATAGCAACCGGCAAGCCTCCACACTCTTTACAAACTGCATCAGCTATATCATGGAGTTCAGGAGAGTCAACAAAATTTCCCACCTTCTTCTTGAACAGGGCCCATGCTGCTTTCTCTAATAATACTTGCATTGGAAAATATCTATCAACTTCCATCTTCTCCAGCACACCTCGGATTCGAGACGTTATCACAATTTTGCAACCTTTGTTTCCATCTGTGATAGGAACACCTATTGTCTTCAAGTTCAATTCTTGCCAAATATCATCCAATATAATGAGATTTTTCTTCCCATTGTTTAATCTATTCCACAGTTCATTTGCTTTTCCCACTTCAGTTTTCTCTATTAGTTTCAGACCCAAGCGGACAGCGAGTTGCCCTTGAATATTGCTCACATTTGCGTCCTGAGAGACAACTGCCACCACCACTTCATCAAAAAGTACATTTTTCACTTGTTTGCCAATCTCTTCGACCATTGTCGTCTTACCAACGCCTCCTGTTCCATATACTCCAATCATTTTAACATTGGAATCTTGTAATGCCACCATGATGTTCTCGCAAACCGATTTTCGCGACTCAAAATTTGCATAGTTTGCACTTGATGATGGGAATTGAAGTTCTTGAGCAAATGGCTTAGGATGTGCAACTGTGCTAAAATTGCCACTCTGAGTGAGATTTCTTACTTCTTCCATCTTGTTTTCGGCTTCCTTGCTCATACGGTATCGCGAGATGTAATCCGGACATGAGAATTTAAAGCACTGCATGTTTTCGTTAATAGTATTGTCATCCTTAATTTTCTGAAGTCTTTCTTCCACCTCTACTAGCCAGTTTGAAACAGGTTCATCAACTTCTTCACCACGAGTAATGGCTTCATCAACTTTTTCTTTGATTTGTTTTCTCTTCTCTTCAAGGTTTTTAATTTCAACTTCTAGTTTCTCCTGCTTCTTCTTGTACTGAACAACAAAACCAACGTGGAGCACCACTAATTGGATCACTGGCTCAACTATTCTCCCTGTAATTGCCCCTACAATTGAAAATACACCTTGCAGGGCACTCATTTTCAATCCACCTTTTCTCTTTTTTTTTTTCTTTTTTTTTCTTTTTTTTTGAAACAAATATTGAAGAAGAAACTAGTTTGAGATTCGAATTTCAGAGGATAAAGCTTTCTCAATCTGTATCTGCAGGTAAAACAAAAAGAGAGATATCAAAGAAGAGAAATAAAAAGTGAAGATAAAATTCTCTCTTTTGCTGATTAGGAAAATAAAAAACGCGGGGGAAAAAAAATTAACATTAACTAGGTGGAAACAGTTAATTACCTAAAAGTGCTATTTACAAATGTTATGCTTACTCAAGTCCTATCTAAGATTTTTTAAATCAATAAATTCTATTTAGTAAAACTGAGAATATTATCAATTTTTCCCAATTTATAAAACTAACAACATTATCAATTTTATATAGTAATGGGGAAAAAAAAAACAGAATATAGGATTAAATGTTTTTGCCCTTCTACTTATTAGTTTGATTCAACTATCTAAAAAAACCGAGAACATTATCAATTTTTTCATTTAAATTTTTTTTTTTTACACATCAATGTTCCATCATCATACTTCTTTATAGACACAAAATTTTTAATTATATCCAAAAAATTAATTTAATTTTTCAATTTTTTCAAAAAAAAAAATAGCAATGCTAGGTATCATGAAAAGTCTTTCATGAAAATGATCATGAAAGATTTATGACCTTTGGATTACACTTAGAATAAAGTACAACACACTAATCAAAGTAATCTAAGGGTCACAAATCTTTCATGATCATTTTCATGAAAAAAATTTCATAATCCCTAACATTTCTCAAAAAAAAACATTTAGTTTTTTTTTTTAATTTATATTTTACCTTTTTTATTCCCTTTCTAAATCTCTCTCTAAATTTATGAATCAAACAGTGTTTATCATACCTTGAGCCTCTCTCTACCAAAAACTTCTTTTTTTTTTTTTTAAATTCTGAGAATATGATAAACACCAGAGAAACGCTTGAGGAGAGATGGGAAATTATAGATACTACATAAAGCATTCACAAATATTTGTACGTTAATAATCATAACAAAATAGAATCCATTTAAGTGTAGGAAAAATCAGTGAAAAGACTCTTTTCAAGAATTTGTTTAGCCATAAATATTATGGAAATAAAATGTGATCCAATAAATTCTATATATGTATGAAATTGTATATTAGAAATCCTTTTATAGAAATTAGATGTTTTTTTATGACAATTTTATCCTTATTTTGGTCAACATGCTTATATTTATATTTATATATATATATATATATTGATCGGTGAAAGTCAATTGTTAATTGTTAGATTAATACCTGTGAGAGTTAGCCTCTGCATTCTTTACAAAGTCAAGTGATTGCCTCTTTAATTCAACTCCCTTAAGGAGATTTAAACCTATGACCTCTCCTAGGGACTAAACCCTTAAGAAAGTCATAGTAGCCAACTGGGTTAGGCCTAGTTGATTAACATGCTTATGTGAAAAACTTCTTTTTTTTCTTTTTTAATGTTTCAAAACTTTAAAATTTTACAACTTTTAAAATGTACATCTGTTTTTTTATATAATTTTGATTTTTTATGAGGCAAAATTTATTTTATCCCCTTGTGATTTAAGGCTAAAGCACTTTACCCTTGTAATTCAAAAATAGTCAGAAAGATCTCGTCATATGATTTTGAACTAAAGTGGAACCATTAACATTAGAGATGTAAAATCACTATAATACCCTTTAGTATACCTAGTTTATAATGTTTAAACATTAATTCAATTAAAACACAATTAATTATATATTCTGAATCATTTATTATAATTCTTAACTTTTTATTCTAATTTTAATTTAATCATATTTTAAATTACAATTAATCTTAAATATTCAATTAGTTATAGTAATTGCTAAATTTTAAATCTAATTTTAATTTAATCATATTTTAGATCAATTTCTAATTATTATGTATTTTATATTCTTACTTAAAATATTTAGTTATATTTTATATTTTAAATTAATCGTTAATTATATTGTATTTTATTTTATTCTAATTAACATATTAATCTTTTTGTTGTATTAATTTCATGTTACTTTTTCAAAAAACTAAACCCATTTTAAAATATTGTGTGTAATACACCTTCCGTCAATTTGAATGAAAAAATTAACGGCACTTTAATCCTCCAAAATCACTTGGGAATTTTCTAACTATATTTAAATCATAAGAGGTAAAATGAATTTAATCCCTTTTTTATAACTACTCAGCCAAATCGTTCTCAATTAAATACAAAATTATGTAAAATGAAAAAAAAAATACACTTTTTTAAAATTTGAAATTGTGAAAAAAAATTCACTTATAAAATTTCATACTTTTGAGAAATATTTTGTCATGAGACTCATCTTCCTTGCATTATAATAGTGTGAATTTTGTAATAAGTGTGGAACTTGTAAATCTGAACATTTATACTTTTAATTATTAAGATATTATTTAGAAAGTACGAAAGTTAGTATGAATCCATTTAAAAATATTCACTTCTTAAAATTTTATATTTTTCTAATTTATTGAATGTGTGAATATTTGTATTTTTAAAAAATTCCTAGGTAAATTATAATTTGCACCCCTGCAGTTTGCACCAAATTCCACTTTGGCCCTTATATATGAAATCATGACAATCAAGCCATTACACTTCTAGTCAAATCTTTTGGTCCCTACACATGAAATCGTGATAGTCAACCCTTACATTTCTAGTCAAGTATCAATGTCTCCCTTTTGTTACTCTACCATATAAATCTTTAATAAAGGTCAGTCATACGACAAACATGTGACTACAAAATAAGAGCAAAGGAGGAAAATCATGCACATTTCCTGCCTGTACACATCCCAAAATTTACATCATATTTTGTCTATATTCGATTAAAACAAAACATAAATTATGAACAATTAAAGAGGCATATTAAGATTTTTTGTAGAAATAGAAATCACAAAACTCTGTTTTTCACAGTAACGATAGAATATTCCTCTTCTCTTTTTTTATTTCTCTGCCTACCTTTATTTATTTGAAAAGAGTTATGTTTTCTTTACTTTTTGTCCTAATTTCCTTACATGTTTATCACGTGAGACAAAGTATGTATTGGTGGAAAATAAGGATAATTTTCTTCTCTTATCCTCATTTTATAGTCACATATTTATCATAAGACTGAATTCCTATTAAAGACTTAAACAATATAGTAACAGAATGGGACATTGACACTTGACCAAGTGCTGGGAGTTGATTGACACGATTTCATGTATAGGGACCAAAGTAGAATTTGACCAAAAGTACAGGGGGTTAACTGTCACGATTTCATATGCAGGGATCAAAGTGAAATTTAGTGCAAAGTATAGGGATGCAAAGTGTAATTTACTCGTGATTTTTTGTGATTTTCACTATTAAGCCTAACAAAATAAGACAAACTTTTAATTGGCGAATTGAAAATAGAATAATTTGAAATTATTTATCCAAAAAAATAAAAAAGAACAATTTGAAATTAAAATTGGTTTGTTCACCCTCTTGGCCGAAAATCTATTGACTCCAATATTTCATAATTTTGTATTCTATGGTCATTACCAAATTAACATTATATTTTCTTCTTCGTGATTTGAGATTGGAACATTTTAGCTATCCTATTGTTAAAATATAGTTAGAAAGGCCCCATCTAATTTTGGACCAACATATAACCCTTAATTTCATTAATTATAAATATGAAATGATTGTAATAATCTTAAATCTTATGTCTTTTATATATATATATATTCTTCTTTTCCTCTCTCATATACATAATTTATATATATATATATATCGGAAGGTGTATTACACACAATATTTTAAAAATGGGTTTAGTTTTTTGAAAAAATAACATGAAATTAATACAACAAAAAGATTAATATGTTAATTAAATAAAATAAATACTATAATTAACGATTAATTTAAAATATAAAATATAACTAAATATTTTTTAAGTAAGAATATAAAATATATATAATTAGAAATTGATCTAAATATGATTAAATTAAAATTAGATTTAAAATTTAGCAATTACTATAATGAGATATTTAATTTATATAGATTTAATGTGTAATTTAAATATGATTAAATTAAAATTAGAATGTC